GAAAACCGAGACTGCCGAATCAGAGAGGTCCTCTAATGGGAACGTCCAATCAAACGACCCGTCAACCCGCTTTAATTAATTCCTCACAATACTCGTCCTGTGAGAACACTGTCGGTTACAGTACGAGTGTCGAGCTTGTTGTCGTCATCGTCGACCACGACGACGACGTCGCCGCCACCGCGACCCTCCTCATTGTCTCCGAAGAACGTTCTCCGTCGAAATGCGAGCGGGCACTTGTCGCAGAAGTACGAGAAATTCACACCGACACCCGTCGTTTCTTGCGATTTTTTTTCATCCATCGAGTCATTTCTGAGTTCCGGCTCTACACAGTGGCGATCCAACAGAGTTCCCGCGATGCGAAGCCGGTTGGACAGACGAGCAGTCACGCTCGTTCGAGGGAAGCTCTATTACAAGAAAGCTCATTTTTGCGGCCGCCCCTCCGCCTTCCTTTTTACCGTCGTCCGCCATCGTATCTGACGCCTTGTTCAGGTCATGTCAAACAAAGGGGACTGGACCATCAAACGAGGGAGCATAGACATGACGTTCGGGTAATTGACGTGCCCTATAAGCCCCTCCCTGCCTACAAGCCATGTCCGCCCTAGAGTTATTTTGACCCTTGTTTGCCCTCATGCGAGTTCCCAACTCTCCCTGCCGATACTCTGCCGCTGCTGCTGACGCGCAGAGCGGAGGTCAGAGGAGATGTCGACCACCGCGCTCATGGATCGACAGCCGACGGCAACGAAACTAGTTTTGCTTGCCATCCCACACGCATCCAACAGAGGAAGAAAAACTATTCGATTCCAACCTCCGGTCACCGAACGTCAGCGCGAGTCTCCACGCTCCCCATTTTGTGAGAGCTGATTCGAGGAATGCCGAAGACACGTAAAAACTTGAAGCTCGATCGGCTCCTCGCAGGAAGAGAACCTTGATACGTCCGAGAAAAGGGAGAAGATTTGCTGATCAGCGTGGCGGAAGACAACGATTCCGCCGGAGAAATCCGCTCCTCACAAATCACCTAGAGCGTGTCACGCAAAAAGTCGGCCACGGATCTTTTCTTCGAGTCACGTAGGAAGTCATAATTAACTGGAAGTAAACGAGAAACTAACTATCTTCGCTGCGCGTGTCGCAGCCAGTCGATGCTAACTCGACTCGGACAGTGGGTTGATTTATATCAGCGAGCTCGCTTGCGACGGGCCCTCGTCTGCGGGAGATTCCGTCGCGTCCGCAACCGAGTCACGACTGAAGCAAATTGCGACTGAGCATCTAACGAGGCCAATACGAGCTCACCGATGCACTGCGAGCGCCAGCCCGAACAGTTGATCGCCACTTCATATAATGGCAGTGTTTCCCACGGCATCCATTGGGTGCGGGGAATTTCAACCTCGATAGGAGCCTGAGGAAGGTGTCGCATGGTTTTACTTTGTATTTGGATTCTCGAGAACCACATGGCTAAATGTTGCCGCTGAGACGAAAAAATCGATTTCGTGCCATTCGATGACAGGACTCGGTCGCAGCTCGACACGAGGTAAGTTAGCAATCACTCTTCTGCGAGGTGACCGCGCGCGAGTCCACGTCTGTCGGGGGCTGGAACTAAAGTACAGCCGAACTTGTCAGCGCCGCTTCCGGGGAATGGGGAAGCAACAGAGGACGCCCGCCCGTGGGAAACTTCGCTTGCTGAAAGGGAGTTCTCCCTGATACCGTGTCTAGTCGTTTCTTGTTCCTGCCGATACATACAACTGAGTGAACGGCGAGAGCGGGAGTCGAGACAACTCTTGAAGCACGAACGAACGAACGACGGCGGCGGCGGCAGCGGCGGCACGAAGACACAGACTAGTTACATCTCAGCCAGGATCAGGCTGTCTTCGTCGCGCTCCGGCGGAAAGATACGGGACTGTGTTTCGAAGTGTGCAAGCGTCAACATCGGTACGACTGCGAAGACGGACCGGCGGAAGGACGAACGAACGTTCGACGAAGCAAGCGAGTGAGTGAGTGAGAGGGAGTTACCCGGAGCGGGAGATACTCAACAGGAAGCGCGTCCCGTGTGTCGGATCTGCAGGACTACGGAATGGGGGACGAGCCCCGTAGGATTGCCAACCGTCCTTGTCTACGCGCCGGAACGCTTATGCAGCGGCATGCTCCCTCCGTCGCCGCTTTCGACCTCTTAGCGTCAACGTCTCCACCGGTCGCTGTCATGGTCCGAATCTCTATTCTCAATGTCGAACTTGCTGATTCGTTTCCTCGTTCTGTTGAGCGTTTCTCCCCGTTCTCTGATGCGTTCTCTGTTGAATGAAATCTTCTTTCATAGTTGACCGTTCGATGCCGGATACTGTTCGCATACAAAGCCAAGTCCAACTACATACTGCATCGGGAGCGCGTGGTGCTCGATGTTGGGCGGTCGTCGGTAGCCGTGGGTTCTGGGATGTCCAATAGTGTTTCGTAATATGGGAGGCATCGATGCACTATTTTCACAGAACTTATTTTCGGACGCGGAAGCTAGGTAGGTCGGGGTTGGAACGACTGGAAGACTGCTGAGGACTGCCGCAGCGGGCCCCGATTTGAAGGGCAAAAACGTGTCCGTGCATGTAGCATGAAAGGTGCGCTCCGAGTTGTTGATGTATGCACGAGCAGGAACGCCGTGACTGTGAGCCCTCGAAAGGACTAATGCCCCTCTACCTGATAAGCGAATAGCTTGATAGAGGCAGTCCTGTTGCTGACTTTCGGATTATATCACTGGGGATGATGCGGTAGCTTGAGGAAAATTGACGGGACGGGTGTGGTGCCGTCTGTTCCGTCTTCTATCCGGCCACGTGATCCCACGCGGAACCCGAACCCCGCGCCTCTCCACCGTCAAAAACAGTTCGTACAGGCAGCAGCTTCTAGCTTCTTCTACCGGCTGCGAGACCTAGGTCACTCTAAGCTCCTCGAGAATCCTCCCGAATGTCACAACGACTCGCTGGATCGGTCTTCGCTTTGCAACTGTCCGGCTTTCTGGTGGGCGGACCCAGTATCTCCCACTCATGGTGCCGTCACCAGAGCGCGGTCTCGTCTCGCTCTAGACCGGCGACGGAAAACTCCTGTATATTCGCCCCATTCATCCCATTCAAGAATTGTTTGTGCTTATGAGCAAGGATATCCCATTTTCTGCGGCCTTGCCCGAAGGAACTCAGCAGGTTTCCCTTCGCGGACGGATCCTAAGAGTCCCGAAGAATCAGGGAACTGACAAAGACATTGGAGATGAGGGAACTATGAAAGGTCAGCCCGATTCATGAGATCATCAAGAAGTCCGAACGATATTCACCCGCGCGCAGGATGTGGTGTCGTCGTAGGCAAGTGCCGGAGTCGCCGACGAGCTTCCGCATCACGCTTAGCAAGTTTCGAAAGTACTCGTGGCGAGTCCGCCTTGAAGCTGGGAGAGACTCAGAGAGACTACCCCCGGCAGTTCAGCTCGGCCATGGTGAAGGGGCGATCTACCTCTCTCCATCGTTCATGAAAATGTCTTCCAGTCGGCGGCGGCTGAGCAGAGGCAGGTAGACGAGTCCATCTTCCCTCTTCCTGTGCTTCCTGCGCGGCGATTCGTATTTGGAGACTCAGTCAGAATAAGAACGCCAACTCGCTGCGAACGTGGTATACTCAGTCTCTCTGAGGCTCGCAAACAAGGGAAGTAGGGTAAGACAGTACATAAAAACACTCTGCACGTAGCATCGCACAGGTGCGTCCACGTGGGCGACTCCGCGCGTGGAGCTCCCCCATAAAACTAATCGAAGGAAAATCCATGAGAGCTGTTGATCTAGCAAAACGCCGAACCTGTGGCCAGTCTCGTCCCTCCCCCCCCCCCCTCTGAGCCCGCCTCGACCGCGGCGATTATTGATCGCGACTCGATGGTCTAATAGCGTCGCGGACGAAAGATTCACATCGACAATGGAAAAGGGTGGCCCCGGCAAAAAACACGCAACGAGGAGAGCGAGGCTTTCTCAATCTATCGACCTCTGTGATTCGCCCTGTTCCTTCGCGCATTCGAAGCTCCGAAGTCGAACGACAAGAGGAAGAGCCACGCGGATGGGGATTATCAGAAGATGGGGGAAGATTGTGAGCTCAAACCGATCTCGCAGTCAGGCATGGTTCAATCATCGTATGAGCGCGAAGTAAGACTTGGCTCAGAACTCGAATTTTCTCGTCGAGTGACGGCTCCTTCTGGATATCCGCCCTCTCGCAATTTATGATCATACGATGCGTTACGTTCATCTTTGAGGAGTATTGCAACGGAGTGGTTTTGATCCAACAGCGTGAGGATCAATTGGAATAGACGGTATGCACCAGGGAAAGTGGACTCTATCGTTCGTTGATCGTGTCACCTGTCTTCTAATTACACCCTGGTCTGGCGCAAAAGTGTGTTTGAGCATTCCAGAGCAGATGCGTTTGAGTTCCCCATACGAGCCGTGAACCTCCCTACAGCCTACGCCCTCCACTATTCGGTAGGTAGTTGAATTGCGACTCCTGTCGACGTCATTCCTCATTACATCACTTCACTACTACAGACCAGGACTCCATCCCCGCCTAACAGGTTCGGTCGGGCCTTCCCTCTCAACCTCCCTCCCCCTTCGATGGCGGCCATCTAATCGAATTCTGGAAGTCTACGCGCTCTCGTACTTCAAGGCAGTCCAGGTTCTATGGATGCGAATTCAGGGAAGGAGCTCATTATTTGATCCTGGATGTGTCGAACCCTACAGAAGAGAGCTCGTATCACCGTAGAGCGATTCGAAGGAAACTGGAGAATAATAGATTATAAGTCCTCCCGGTGAGGACTTGTTATTCCAACGAAGGCTCCTTGATAGACCCGAGGAGCTCCAACAGCAGGGAAATAAACATTGGCGCGGGAGCGAGAGGATGAGAGGAAGAATAATAAGGAGGAGAGCGGTCTGACAGATAATGAATTATAGAGGACTACCAGATCAACAGCGATACCGAACAGACTCCCGTAAGGAGAATGAACACGCTCTCGGTCGATAACGAAACAATCTTCCTTCTCATGAATCAACATTTGACTTTTTTCCATACGACTCGTTTGCGTCCCCGATAATCTCGCAGTGACGGAGCTTAGTTCTTCGTTGCTGGGCTCCAAGGCTCGTGTAGTACGAAGTCCCGTGTGGAATGAGAAGCGGGTCGGGGTAGACGGAGCGGCATCTAGTTTGGCTTGCTCTGTCCTCTCAAGGATCTCCGCAGCGTTGAGAGCGGCGAGAACAGGAGACTGCCTTCCTCGTTGGAGTCGACGCTGTAACATATGAGGAATTGGATCGTCAAGCGAAAAAGAATTCATAGAGCTTGTTTTCTGCAGACGGTCAAGTTCAGCATGTCGGGGATTGTATCGTGCCTCGCCTGTCTCTGTATTATTTGTTTCAAGCAATTTCCGTCTTCCCCTTTGTAAACGATCGAGGTTTTCGTTCATTCACTGCGGACTCGTAAGATAAAGCCAAAACCTTGGAGTAGCCCGTGCCGGAGCAGAGGGTACATATATCTCGGGATTCGCCTAATCGAGGTCAAAGGAGGAGAAATCACCTCGTGGCTGAAGAGTTCAGGCTGGAAGAGGCTCGCGGTTCCCTCTCCTGGAGCCTCCTGAGATGTTCCTCCTCTTTTGAGTGGAAATCCAGTGTCTGCTTTTCGATAAGGCGCGTGATCTGTTCCAGTTTACTATCTACCGGATTGCTGCGGGTTGCCGCCTGTGGAACAAACAAACAAAAACGTCATGTATGAACACCGTCTCAGCATTGGCTAGGCAGTCGCTTCAGCGTCACTTCAGCGCAACCTGGAGCAGACTGCACAATGGAGGGACGGGACGAACTTTCAAAACGCCGTCGAAGGTTTCCTGCCTTCTCCCAGCGGACACGTGACCTTGGAGCGTGCTCCCCGGGGAACTCTTCTCGGATGCCGAAAGGAATTCAAAATCAAATTTTCGAGTGACCGGATTTTCATGTGACTCGAGTGCTGAATTCAGACTTGTGTTTCGTCTTCGTTTCTTTTCCAAACCAGATCTGTGGACCGACTGTGTATTCGATCGATCTCCTTGGGGAGTCAATATTCAATAACAACTCTCGAGGCGCCCCATGTCCATCCTCATGATCTCCTACCTTCGAGTGATATCCGTCTTCGCTGCCCGCGGTCGATTTTGAATCGGCTGCAGATCCCTCATTGATGGAAGCGGTGACTTCCATGAGGTCCACCAGCGAGAGCTGCGGAGTAGAAAAAAATGATTCCTCGATGATGCAACTTTTTTTCCCGGATCACCATGCTCTCGATTGAGCCTCTGCTATTGCGTGTGTACCTCTTTCCTGAGGAGCCGTGGACTGAGATGATCCAACTCGGGCCCACGATATTTTCCAACGAACTCAACAGCAGCCTTGAAAGTTGAGAGGGTGAAGCTCGAGAAATCATCCTGGAAAAACAAACGTTGCACAAGGCCGGCCAGGTATTATCTGGTCGGATCTCTTCCATTTTTCCTTCAGCGGTAAGAAAACGATATGAGAACACGAACGTACCTTAACCCCGCAAAAATGGTCAATGTAGAAAATGTTCGAGGAGAAAGAGGTGGGTCGCGACCGCGCTAAAACAACAACCACCAACGGTATTAAAGTTTCTGCCGTGAGACTGGGAACATCTGCAATTGTAAAAGACGTCTGACTGCTGTTGCTCGGGAAGCAGACACGTTCGATCTAAAAACCCCGCGTCGCTCTGCAGACAGCTGCAGCTCCTTGTTCGAATCGTGGCCAAAGGCAGCTTGCCGTACCAACGGAGGATTCCCCGAACGCAGGCTCATCACAAGAAAAGAATACGACGGGATGGAATCCTCGCTCAGCGTACACAGCGAATTATCATTTCGAAATATTCCGGACCGGTGTTTTGACACCCGTCAGATCCCAGGTGAGGTTCACGGTAGACCGCGTTCATGGCTGAAGTACAATACGTACCTTCTCCGAATTCCAGATCGGCTCCGCATTTCACGAAGTGGGACGCTACTTCGCGCTGTATCGAGGAGAGCGTGCGTCGAATACACCAGAGTTTATCCACGGGCGTGTACTTCGCGTTGAGGGAAGCTAATTCAACAATAGAAATGGGCAGCTCACAATGAAAGCATTCCTCCTGGACCCCCAGCATGTCGGGGGCAACATTCGAGAGCCGTAGGAACTCCAAACGCCTGCGAAAACGCTGTTTCTGAAGGTTGACTGGCTGAGGGTAAACCACTGCATCGAATCGAAACTCGAGCTCAAACTCCCGGAAGCATAATTTTAGCCTTCATGAGCCACGTTACGGACCGTTCGAGATCGGCATCGTCGTTGCCGCAAATGCTCTTGACGGCATTGAAGACTTTGTGATGGGCAAGACCAGACACATAGTTATCCACACAGATCGCTAGCTTGTCAGGATCACTCGTTGAATCTGAGGTCAAAACCTGGAGAAGAAGACGTTTCGCTGCCTTGAGGATGCTCCAGAGACTCCCGATGAATGACTGTACAGCTCCTTGCTAAGTTAGCTCAGAGCTTCGGGGCGATATACGATGAACGGACCTGGGTGGCAGTTTCCGCTATGCTCCTGATTCGGTCGACAACATCACTGATGAACTTTGGTACGATCACGTATGTTTTGTTGAAGGCCTCTACTTTCTCCTCGATTACGCGTAACGTCTGAAGTGACTTGAAGTTAGGACAGCAATTAATTACAAAATTGGTCGACGAACCGAATAGAATAAACTCCCGTCCGACGGAGTCCGAGCTCGGAAGTCATCCCTGGGTGCTCGGGGGACTGGAAGTCCCTCCCCCACTCACTTCTGAGAACACCGAAATGCTGTGAAGGTATGCCTTGGCCTCCTCGAATGACGGCGGTGCTGGTGTATCCGTGGAATCGTTCATCGGGTCCAGCTCCGATGACCACCCTCTCCTGAGCGATGGAAAACGATATCGGTGACGCTTCCCTTTCATTTTAGGTAAGGATGACTATCCTATGTACGACTCAGGCCCCATCATAATGGGGCGAGGTCTATCGTCGCTCTTTCTCTAGCCCGAACTTTTCGATCCGAGAATTAAATCTTGATCGCTCAGAGTGGAAGCGGGAAGAAATAAAGGTAGAGCCGAAGCACCGAGATTGAGAGAACAATTCCAAGAAGCTGAGGTTAAAGTTCACCTGATCTGGCGGGAATGAGCGTGGTGGGGAGCGCGTGATCGTCTCCTGGGGGTCGGGAAGTGGATGGGTTCGCAAATCAGAAGGATGCGATATGGTTGCAAGTTCTGAAGCGAAAAGTAACAGCCTCAGAAGGTCTTCGAGAACTCTACAAGGCTCAAAACAGTTCTGGACGGCGTTGATTTTCGTTGTTTTGCGGTTCTACACATTGAACTCCGTTCAATGTTCTGTCGCAAAAAAAAGGTTCTGGTAGGGCGGATTGGAGTACCTCGTTGTAGGCGATCTCTTCACCGACGATGCAAACATGCTTGGGATATGGGAAACCGCAAGTCGTGTGCAGAACGTTCCGTTCACTGTCCAATTCTACGAGAGTTGCCGGCAGATGCCGATGGCAGACAAAATGGTCTGCATAGAGCGGAGACGGCTTCAAAATATGGAAACCTATCAATGAGAGCAGATCCTGTAGATTTTCCCGAAGAAGACAGGTAGAGGGCACAGAATATTCAGTAATTTCGAAGCGCCCCCGGATCGCGGGAATCAGTGCAAGATGCCACTGGACGCTCGTGCCGGATAAGAGGTGCTGGTATCCCGTGGTACCCGGGGGGGGGGGAGCGAGAAGTCTGCGACGCATCGGAGGATTCCGTCGTCTCTCTGCGGATGGGAAGCATGATCTCACCAACGAAAGTTGAATTCACGTGGCACAACCGGAACGTTCCCTCAACAGGAACGAGGATTGTCCATTGCGCCCGTTGAGCCTCCAAGAAGGTCTCCAGATACCGCGACTGAAATACGGAGTCAGGCAATCGTGAGCTCAACGGCCCATCAAATTTCTGATGCCAGTAGGTCCCGGATACAATTTACAGAAAGATCCTTATTTGATAACCAAGGCAAGGAAACCTCAACTAGGCCATTAAGGCTTCGGATTCAAGCGTCGAATTGCCCCACGTTATAGAAATGTTCCCCTGAACAATTCGGGGAAAGCTCCCACAGCAGTATGCCCATCAAACGACTCTACAGCGATCAAATGGCATTCCTGCGGACGTCTTCCCACGGAGCGCCGAAACTCACCTGAAGGAACTTGAAGAACGAGTTATCATATATCGAGTGAGGGTTCATAGGCCAGCCCGGTTGTCGACAACCTCAGCCAATGAACTGGAAAATTCCACTGTCGCTGATCGCATCCTCGTAGTCTCAGTCCGAAAGTCACATCAGCCACAGTCAAATAACACCAAGACAACACATAATGATGGAAAATCGACTGAACATAAAACTCGGAACTCCTGCGTATTTGGCCGTCTCCTTCCGAGACTCTCAAATCCGAGTCCGAGTAGAAATGGAAGAGATACGACCAATGCGGAGGACCCTACAACGACGGAAAGCCGTCGGTTTGCGAAGTTCGAACGATCCACGGGCAGCTTCACGATCAACTCACTCACATATGTTGTGTTTACAGTGGCAAGCTGACAAGCGGTCGACGAGCATCCAACGCTTACGGCGTCGTCACGGCAACGCGCAGCGCCATGACGTCAGCCGCCGTTGTTCGTGAGTGCGCGCGAACTTCGGCCAACGCGACGTCTCAATCTCCAGCCAGCCTCTCGCGAGCTCCGTCTGCCCAGGCTTCTTCCCTCGAATAAATGCATGAAATAACCCAAGAGAACAGAGTGCCTGATTTTTTTCCCCCGGAACCGACATCTCACGATGCGGCAGTCCCGAGGCCGAGACAGGAGCCGGTTATGGGAGCCTCCAGATTCCGACATGGACGAGATAGACGCTACCGACTTCCATGGTGCCATTCCATTCGGAATGGATTCTTTCCTCTGAAGATGCGGCTAGTCCTACAGGCCGCTGCTGGGAGAAAGCATCGCGATATCCTCTAGTTTTCTGATCAATCGCCGCCGGGGAGCGCTGACCCGATTTCAACATTTTGAATTTTATCGCAGGCGTCCAGCAGACTCGGGACTGACTCAGTCCGCTTGAGAGGACTAGAGCCCAGAGCGAGGGAGATCATTACTCGCCGTGAAGATCATCTCTGACCGCGCTGAAAACGACATAGCGCCCAGTTCCGTGATAGATCAGAGCCATAAGTTGCAGCTCGTCGTCCAGCCCTATGCGTTCTGAGCTCCCTCCATAAGTGCAAATGACACGTCACCAATTTTCGAAGCAGACCAAACTTTCGGAATACGCAATTTTCCACAGCACTTGACTCACGTTAGATGGCCTCGGGACTGCAGCCTCAACGACCGAAAAACCGCTCGTTCACGGGGATGCCTCGAACTTTGAATGCGCAGGAGGATGCGCGAAACGTCATATAGACGTTATGCCACCCGAGCTCACACTGTGTTACCTTCCTCCACAGTCGCGCTCGCGGGATTCATGAGTGACTCTCAGTGAAGTTTCCAGAACAAGGAGAGCTCCCCCATTGTTGGACGAGGTGTTCCCTCTCGATCGCTTCGAAACAGCTCGTGATGAGAACCATTCCGGGACAGTGTCCCTCGGCGGGGGCAGAGGCTGCAAGCGCCGGAACGGCCGAAACTTTTTATGACGTCTCTCTGTAGCACCGATTACCTCATCAGATGAACGACCTTCATTTTGGTAGGAAAATGTCCTGGAGGCGGGTTCCTCCAGACACACGCCCCACACAGTTCATCTTGTCTAGCAGTTTCCGAGTGATCAGTTTCGACACAAAGACTCTTGGGAGGAAGTTCACTTCAAAACTTCTGGATTCAAAACTCATCGATTTTTCCCGCCACGTCGCCTGAGGCATGATTTCGATTCCCAGTCCTCAATTATCGAATGCCATGATGATAGCATCTTTCCATCATCCGAAAATTACTCTCTGGAAGTGATGCTGCGCACCGTACTAAATCTCTCATGCAAGAGAGAGAGAGAGGAGTCTCTGCGAATCTCGGATCAATTCTTCGGGAAGCTTGAATTGGCTTCTCTTCCTAACGCCATTAGAAAATGATGACTCGAATTGCGGTTCGCGTATCCGAGGGTCGTCGGAGCTAAAACAGGAATCGATCGGGGTGAAATATCTTATCGGGTCAACGCTCATGGGTTCACCCGGGAGCGCCACTGTACGGTATGCGAACGCGTGCGTGAATACGAGCGGTCGCGACGGCCGTTTGGTCAGCCGTTACTGTGGTAGCCTCCCATCGATATCGATTAGCTCCAGGAATTCGACCCTGGTGTCACTATCCACACCTCCGGAGGAAGCATTGCGGGAAAGCGGCGATGCGTTGGTAACGCGTTTTCGATATTTCACTCTTCACGCTTTCCAATCTCCCCGTTTCCTTCGAGCGAGAATATATCCAGTCAGCCAACCATTCAGCCTCTCTTCCTCCATGGAATTCTCGCGCGCGAACCCTTTACGCCGTCAGTCGAGTGGAGTTGCCGCAAAAGTTGGCCGTCCGTCTTTCCTCCGTCCGTCTCCCCATCTCGAGAATCTTCGATCCCTCCACATCCGAGGCGAACTTCAGGGCGTCTGATCTCGTGGATCGTACTGATTGGGAAAATACGGGTAGGCCATGGGATCTGTCCGAGGGAAACCTGGAGAGTTTCCCGGATCAGGAAAATCGTTCGAATACATACTAGGAATATAGCTTGTCGTAGCAATGAATCCCCATAATCACCCGATTCCCGACGGGCGGCTTTCAATCGCGGGCGACTGATATAACACCCCCGCGGTGGTCTCGGGGTAGTTCGACAAGCCGAGCGTCGAAGCGATCGATAGAAGGCACCAAACAATTTTCAAGTTCGTTCGAGTCCTCTCGTCCCCGTCGCGTCGTGTCCTCGGCTAGGGAATTGAACGCTGGAGCGGCAGCTGCAGTACTTATCGGCAAAGTCGCGGTTGGCGCGCGATAATCTATTCCGATGAAACGGTCTTAACCTCTGGAAAAGTTGAAAGCAGCGCAATGTCCCATCCATGGTACGTAACAGAACAGCAAAGTTCGTCGTGTCTGGAATCCATGCGCAGCTCCCGGCGACCCCTCGCTCTCCTCACTCGTCTGTCGTTCGGTGTGTCCGTCCGTGCCCGCGTTCGCTGCCGCTTAGCTCTCGGGCTCTCTCTGTCGTTGTCGTCCACCAGCACGTCGGTCGTCGTCCCAACTTTCTCAATAGAGCCGCCACAAATCGAAGCCATCACAGTTGATGGCCTGCATACTTTGGCCTAATATATGCACCCACTTATCCGGCGGTGTCAAACACGTCAAAAGCTTTCAGCTGTGCACTCTTTTGGAAACGATCGATTAACAGAACGAAGCGCTGAAATTACCAAAATCACTCCCGTCGATTGCAATGGTCGTCGCCACTCGGCATTGCGTTATGTTGAAAGGACTACCGAAAGAAAAGAACATTTCTCTGATGAGCGCCTCCTCGGTCTATTCAGCGAGCTCCTTGTTGCGTAGTTGAGGAGCGACCGCCGCCGCCAAAGCCGCGACAGAAGCAGCAGCCATCTCGCGGTTTCTTCGGCGGTCGACCAGCCAGCCGGGCGAACGAACGAGCGACTGACTGAGCTCATCTGACACCAGCGCTTTACAAAGGACAGCAATCGCTTTCCCAGCGGGAAGCTGAGTGTCGTCCTGAGTGCGACCGAAAAAAAAGCCATGAAAAAAAAGAAGAGAAATTGCTACTGCGGCGGCAGCGACACTCCGTCACGTCACATCTCGTCTCACGGAACTTCGGCGTAAATCAATCGAAAAAATTACCGCTGCGACAACGAACAAGCGAGTGATTTCGAAAACTCCGAGAAGAGCGACGCGGGCGGCGCCCTTCGCCGCACGGTCAGCGAGCCGTCAACTGCGGAGCGAAAGCAGGAAATCAGTGCCACAGACAGTCAATGCGGCGGCGGGGGTTGCTAATGATTCAAGTTCGAAGTAATGAATCCGCTCGGAAGATGCCCGAATTTTTTTCTGAACTTCTACCGGATCAGAGCCATCACTCACTCGTCATCGTTCCCTCGGCGTTGCTCCCCGTCGAACGATTGCGAGCGGAACTTCACACTTGAAAAACTCCCGACGTACTTTTTTAAGCTTCTCGCCGTTGAGTGGTCGCAGGCCCTGTGGCCGATTTCCTCTCACCGAAAAGCGGCGGACAGGAGAGCTCGGAATTCCGAAGCAGTCGAACAAGAGAAGATCCTCGATTGGAGTGAAGCGGCTGTTGGTTCCCGAAAGGCTCCGTTTCCCTGCGCGTAACGTTGTGGTCGCTCGAACGCTATCGAGCGGAGCGGAGTATCACTGGAAGTCGCGAATGAACGCCTGGAGCCGGTCCCCGGCTCGTCAAGGGAGGCAACAGTTTCTCCCCGGGATAACCCGAGACTTCTTGGTGCGCTGGTTGGGATTGTGGATTCGCGAACAGCTTCCTGTATTATTTCTCTGTTCGTCTCGGATTCGAATGTTCCGCGAAACGCGATCCTGCTCTAGTCGAACTGCAGACATTGTACTTTCTCCTCCCTGAACCTCCAGAATTCGGCGAGAAAACGACCGGAACCCGAGCTGGAGGAACTTTCACGGGAGCTCCAAAGTACCTATTCTTCTTCGAGCTCAGCGAGAGATTTGCTCTCGTGGGGTTTTCCTACGGGACAGGAGCTCCTCCAATGCACCGAGACTGCCGAACGATGTCACGTATTCCCACATTTAGCTCGACAAAGAGTGATTCGGAGAGAGCGCAGCGCTCACATCGACATCCGAGCGGATGGAAATATCCGGAGCAGAATGGGAAGCACGTCGATCCGCCCATTTTAGTCGTCTGAGAGGGAACTGTTTCAGAACGATTGCACCCATCAGTCGTGACCATCGTTCTGGTACCGAAATGAACTTGGAACACCTCGCAATGCCGTTGAATATTGAATTTGAGGAGGGGCCTCCTCGAATCAAGCACGCCTTCGAGTTCCCGCAACTATATTATTTTTTTGGAACAAGCCATACCAGAGTGAGTCTGCGTGCTCTAATTGTTAGGCTCGGGCTCATACGGTAACTCGGGGACACGGTGACGCAACCCCATGCCGCGACGTGCCGATTCTCCCGTCCGAATCCATCGGGGAGTTAGCCGTGGATACACCCTCCGGACTCTCTCCTGAATTGCACCATCATAGTTTTGTATCGCTGCAAACTCTTCTTGCTCCTATAAGACGAGGGACCCAATGAGGAGACTATTCTCTCGAAAACCAAGCCAAGGAAAAGAGTTTTTTGAATTGAAAAGTTTGAAGAATGGTTCGAATTCCCGCCCAATAATTCGTCATGACTCCGTTCGGAAACAGTAGCGTGCGCCGCTGGTTTGCTGCTGAGCTGATTCATATCCGGAGAATTATTCAACACGACGAGCATCTTCGTCGCAGTTGTTCCGCCGGAGTCCAGCAAGCACAAGGGATTCGGGAAACGTCGAACGAAACATTTATTTACACAGAGTTTCGATGTCTACTACATTAGCATTCGCACCATGATAGGAAAAACCTTGGTCTGCACCTTGACGAACAATACAGACAATATAAAAGAATCCCGGAGACCTATCACATCAATCGCAGCTCCAGTTTCGTTCCGTTGATAATTCGGGGCCGGATCGATGAAACGATCCAGAAGTCTCTGATATTATTCGAGCCGACGTCGTGTCGTTTGCCCACGTAGCACTTGGAGGCGAACTTACAGCTGGACAGCTATCTAGCGAGAGCTCAGCGACCGACTCCAGGGTCTCACGCTCGCCGCTCCGTCTGTTCGTCCGCTCGACGCTCTGCCTGTTTCAGCTCCCTCAATCCTGACAGCGATATTAGCTACCGAGACTGAAATCGCATGAGCCGCTACACACGTATACGTTCACTGCAAGGCAGATGTAAAGATCTACGATACAGTGGAGACCTCCTCCGCTCTTGTATAAAGAACTCACTGTTTTGCCTTGGCTAATCTCTCGCTCGCGAATAGGTGGACTACAAAGTGTATAGCTAAAGTTGTTCATATCTTCCGCACAATGCCGTCATCTCACTGGTGATTGGAAGTCGGATTACATGGTTGAACTTTTGCGTCGACTGATACGACATGTCGTTCGTTTCGGGAGCGGTCCATGGCTTCATTCGTTTCTCTGAGTTCTCAAAATTATTTCTATCCCGGATTCTTCACTTCAATTTTCCAGTTGTCATTCCATCACATTCGTTCCTTGCGCATAATCTAACACACTTGTACTTGTTTCCTAACTCGTGGGCGTCTCATGAAGTGGTATGCGGAAAATGCATACGAACAATGTAAAAGTTCATAACAGATTCGGTCATTAGGCAACAGCGGCGAAAACGATGATCTCGACTTGAAAGGCATCACAGAGACCACCTCCGTCCTGCACAACGAAGGACCTCCAGAAAATCATTATTGCGATCTGAATCTTTCAAACGGATTTTCTGTCGCGCTAACGCGAATTGACAGCAAGATCCGTTCAGAGATCGCCGACCGAATATCTTTCGCTGTATTCTTGAATCCCTGTGACCAGTTAGGAGCTTTCAGAGGTTTCGGAACCTTGTCCCGTGAGCTAGAAGATCTCACTCGTGGAGCTACCGCTGTCAGCTTCTCTCAAACCCAAAGATCTGATAATCGACGTCGGTGTCATCCCTCATCCCTCTATGTGAAGGTCCCGATCGAGACGGAAACGGTGGCAGACAACTTAGCCGAATTTCGGCAAGAAAAGGCCGAATTTAGATTCAACACCCTGGAAGGTCGTCAGGCCCATCTTGTACCCGCCGACATGGTCTGGGTTTCGAGACACGAGCTTGTCACCGACCGGATTGCTCTCTGAGCCTGTAGGTCGGCGTCCTCCGAAGTCAACGTAGAAGAGTCGCTGAAGAACTTCGTATGTCAGGAGGGTGAAGCCGAACTGTGGCGAGGAACGGAAGACTCGAGCTGGACCACCCTTCCAAAAAGCATTGAAGCCTTCTTCGGCGTAAATTTTCCTGCACGCATCTAAAACGCCGCTGTACGTCGTTTGCCCGGCTCGTGCGGCCACTTGAAGTCGAGTCTTAATCACGTCGGCGGGGGTTACTAGGTACGCGGCGGGGACTCCGGCGATGAATGCCGACCCAAGAAGACTCAACGGGGAGTTCCGACCTTCACTGTCCTGAGAGTTGAGCTTCATATGCGCATAAACGGGGAAGTAGATCATGGAAAAAGGTATATCCCTGAGGAAACAGGCTCGCGATCCCTTATATAAACCCGTGAGGCCCAGTTCGCGGATGACCCCCAACGCGGACACTTTGGGCCCACCGACAACTTCACCCGCAACTTGCAATCTGATTTTCACGATCTCCAACGGGTTTGTGAACATCACTTGAGAACCACCGGCCTGAAAATGAACGAATTTATTCAAGTTTGACGGGTTCTCCCAACGACGCGGAGAATCGAATCCGACGGGGCTATAGTTACATCTCTGACTGAGCATCACCTACCGTGCCACCAGCGAGCATTTCGGCCCAAAGCGGGATATTCCCTCTCTCGTCCGTGAACTTGTCCCGCACAAGGTCGTTCATCTGTCGATAGGAATCAGCGTTAGGTCTGTAACTCGGTTTTCCACGCTAACATCATAGCATCAAGTCACTGTCGGCGATTCGGCTCAATCTGTTGAATTCAGCAGGAACGAACCGTTAATTTGATGGCTTTTTCCGGCGCTACTCCGACTAATTGAGGTAGGAGGCCTCGATAGAAACCAAGCAAGCCTTCGTGTCGGAGGACCTTCTTAGCGCAGTCGAAACTGTTGCGATACATGATTTCACCTGGAAGCAGCGTGCATAGATTACGCATAGGAATGTTCCATGACGAAAATGCAGTATGGAGAACTCGATGAGGATTTCGAATCAGAGCTGCATTACTAACCGACGATTGAGCCGCTCCTCTGATTTTGCATACGAGTTTTAACGAGATCTATCGGGTACACTACGGTAGCTCCACAGGCCCCGGCGATCGAACCCAAGAGAAAACGATAGGCACTTTCCAGGACCTGGATACCAAGTCCTCGATCTTCGGGTTTCTGGATGGAATGAGGAATTTTCAAGATTCGATTGGCGCTTGAATCGCTCATATATAGACCGGCATACTTCTACGGGGTTCAGACGGCGTTTCTGGTTCTGTACCCTTCATTCATGAGAAACTCTGCCGTTGCGAAAAGCAGACAGAGCAGCTAGTGTCATGGAAATGCAGGATCTCATCGCATAAACGCTACGAACCTCAACAGCTTTAACCTCCGCAATGGGTCTCATGAGGACTGCCTTGGTGGGTCTGTAGGGAGCCACCTTCTCGAGATCACTGTATGTAATACGGCCGCTACTGTTGCTGAGAAACCCGCACAGATTGAATAGAATATCGATTTCGAGAGGTGTCATGTGGGACATTTGTTGAGAACAGGCGGCGAACTCTTCCTTGGTCATCTCAGTGCGCAAATCGCCCTTCGTGAAGTGTAAATAGATCTTCTTCACGAGTTCCATGTTATCGAGGAGGGAATTGAAGGCCATAAAGTACGGGAACGACACCTGGTGAGGCATGAATCGAGCTCATTAACAGAATTGTCTCATTGGATGCCTCGAGGAGGAATCGTATTGGAAAATTGGGAATAGGAAAAATCCACTCCATCTCGTGTCTCTGTAGTCACTACCTTATGACCTCCGTGTTCGGAGGCGGCAACTGCGACGAGGTTCTTCTTGACGTCCTCCGACAAGAGATGCGATTTACAACTGAGCATGATGTCGGTGAAATCCATCGACGTGATAGCACCCGTTTTCTTCTTATCATACTTCTTGAAAGCTTGCACCGCATGCTCTTCGTGGAAGTCTTGAAGAACCTGAGAAAACTCAGCATATGTGACCGTTCTCTTCCGGTCACCTCCAAAATGCAGGACAACAAAGTCGGAGTTGAAATCGAAGGGGATCTTCTCGTGTAGGGTAGTATGCTTGATAATTTGTTCGAATTCGTTTTCCGTGACGTGGCCGGATCCATCCGTGTCGAACAGTTGGAAGGCGGTCCTGCAAGACGGAAAATTCGCCCGCTCAATGCGACACACAGTACCAGCAGTGAAAATCATTGCACAAGATCTTCGTGACACTCTTCTTCTCGAAAAAGAGGTAAGCTCGAGCTCTATCACACAGTGAATCGTGGAAACATTCGTCATTCTCGGAATCCCCCTGCGGCGTGAATCGATGCAAGCTGGGTCTTGACGGAACATACCCTCTACTCACCTATATACAGCTTCGGGATGGCACAGGATGCCTTCGTAGGCTTCGAATTCCCGGAAGGAGATGAGGCCATCTTTGGATGTGTCGAGAATGTTTCCGAGGAGAGTCAAGCTTTTTTTGTTTGCATTCTGCTCGGGCAGTAATCCAAGGAACTTGATTACGAAATCATGAGCGGTCATGAATCGTTCCCCGTTTTTCTCCACGGAAGCGTACTGGTTGAGAGAAAGCTCTTATTAGATACATTCGAATCTGTAGGCACGAGGATCATGCACCACGATGCCGCGGAAGGATACAACAAATAAAGTCATTCGAGCATACGCTGAATGCTGGAAGCTTACTTTGTCGAAAACATCCCTCAGTCGTTTACTGTCCGCTCTCCGGATGTATTGAGCCTGTATGGGAAACAATAAAGAATGAGAAAACCCTCAATCAGGAGTTTGCAGAGACATGGAGACGGAAATCCTGCGAACGGATCACGCGAGAAATAGGGAAGTTACACGCGAGCTAAAGAAGGTCAGCTACGGAACACTTTCAGAATTGAGAGAAATGTCGGCATCATGATCCAGCCTGTCCTAGTGATTCCTTGAGTTATGACCCCATTTATGACTATTTAGGTCTCGCTGAAAAAGCTCACTCGACAATGAGCACTTCTCCAATGTCAAGAGTCTCATTGAGGAGAGAACAGGTCAATGCCGGGCAGAAAGCCATCGGGAGGGCTCGCGCAAGGTCCAGTCCCCTATCAGCAACGCTTGTTGTGTGCCTCTTATCGAGAAGCTAGCAGCAGAGCGACGTCATCGGAGTGTCCATCAATGAATGGAAAGCTCCTATCTGTGATCGTAGAGCGGTTACAAGCGAGGATCGCTCCTCACAGAACTACCCTTCTCATGATCGTCGAGAGCTCGGCAGTCGAGAAGGTCCCGTCAAAGAGAGCAGGCTTGGTTTGTCATTTTTAGATGGAGGTCAGCAAGCGGACCAAGCCTTCCTCACGCACTCGGAATAATTTTCTTGTCTCGATCAGAATCTTATCACGAGGATCGCGCCCCTCCAGTCATAATCGAAATAAGAAAATCTTTCCGTCATCAAGGTCGTTCGATACCGCTCCTCCGCCATCAATAGATCGCCGTATCAGAGCGCGTCAACGCATTCGTGAATCTGCTCTCATTCCCGCAAAGGCTCCTTGATCCGGAGGATGGGACATCTAGAACAGTCAGCAGAATCGAACTTTCCGATATTGTACCGTCCTGAGAGCGACTATCTGTTCATTGATCCGGAGGGAAAAAAGCGAATTGTCGCGTCTCGTCCGAGTACGGTGTGACATCGTTCCGGGCACAGAGAGCAGCGTGTGGAAGAGGATGTCCCAGTCCATGACGCCGACGCTGGCGACGACAACGTCATCAGTTGCGCTCTATCGACGCGCGTGTGGCCTTAACTCACGACACGAAGCGTGCTAAGTCAGTATCGAATCGCGAACGATGTCTGCTCAGAGCTTATCCTCAGCTCTTATCATATCTTTCCTAGACAAGCTTCGCTTATAGAGTGACTATCTCGCGATACGAGAGCCTTTGTGGAAACTTTACAAGACAGCATCCTATTCCATGGAAATAAACTTCCTTCATCGATTTCAAAGCGAGGATGGCGGGTACTCCGAGAACGCTTGCTTGACCCCGCCGCATCCGGTGATCAATTCTTGATGAGGAACCGGAGGCTCCACTGTCCCGCATGAAGCTTCCTCCTATGTGCGAATCGTCCCACAAAGGGAGTCCATCTCGACAAAGACTGCCACACCGGAGGTTGGAGAAGCTACCCCTCACAGAAGTCTTCCCGCATGCGACAGTGACAGTTTAGACCCTAGAGGTGAAAGAAGATTTCGATATTCGACGGAGGTGATGGCGGGAAGAAAGAGGAGGAAATAATGATAAGGGTTCGCAAACACTCGAGGGAGTTCGACAAGTGATCTACCTCGCATTTGGCTTCCGGTAGCAGCTTCTTCATTCGAATTTTTAACTGCCGAATGAATGAGATGATTAGCGGTATTCAGTAATGGATTAGGGGCTATAGAGAGGATCCTCCCAGGCATGGAAAAACTACAAAAAGTGATTTTCGATGCAGGGGGTTCTATCGAATTCGTCTGAACAAATTTTTGGGGTTGCTCAGAGTTTTCGAACACGAGAAAAGTTTCCACTCTGAAGCGGTGACACCGGAGCGATCTGGATGCGATGAAAACGCTGGGCTGGAAGAAGCGACGAATTCGGGACACGCGCAGACCGAAGCCGAGCATCGCGTCGTCCTCTGCGCCGGGCAAGGACGTGTGTCCGACCTTGACGACCTACGACAGAATGTGTAGCGCTCACCTGTTCCATCCTGTGTCAAGCAGCACTCCGAACTCCAGATCAGAGATGAATCTCAAGTATCGCAGAGAGCCAGTCACCGAGAAGTACCGAACAAAGAGCCGAAGACCTTAACACCTCCCGCTAGTCGTCGTCACCACCACCGCCAACACTAGGCTCTCGAAAGAGACCGTCCCGCTCTCTGCTGCAATTTCCAGCACCAGCTTCTACTGTCCGACAACGAGTGAGCCAAGAGAAGGAGGGCCCGTACTAACGAAAACAAAGTCACGTGGTCACAATGAACGCATTCTCCATGGCCCGAGTCTACGCGCACTGCGAGCTCTCCTGGTGCTGGTCTCGACAGAGTGCTACATATGTATCGGATGACGAAGATCGACTCGGGGACGTTGAAGCAATGTCATCGCTTGCAGAAGAACTCAACGGGATGATCAATATCCGTTCGTCTAATCCGTCGGCAGACAAGCGGGAGAGCCGTGATCCACGCTCATCGTCGCGGAGACTGACAACGGACTCACGGCTATAAGATTCATTGGAGTATGAGTTGTTCGCCATCCGAGCCGAACCGCGAAACACGAGCAGCCGATCATTCCGTCCAAGTGCTCAATGCGAGAAGCCACGGATCGCGCGAGTGCTTCAGGTGAGCGCTTCCATACCGCTTCTCAGTCCTGGAGTTCATCATTGATTCGGTATTCCTGATCACGTCGGAGCTTGCCACAGCGCGATGAGTCGGTCGACAAGGAAGGAACAGATTGTATTTGAACTTTGACTTTCTGATATACATGAAGATGAGGGAGGAGCGGACGGACTGTTGCTTCGAGCGTTACATGCTCCACCGAGACTCTCATCGAAGCATAAGGCTCCGAAGGAATGCTTGATCCGACTGATGCATGTTTCCGAGTCCAGCGTGGGTCGACAGCGACGGTGTCGGATTTGAGCCGAGGGATCAGCGATTGCTATTACATGTCGACCTATGATTCAAGTTTTCTATTTACTCCGAAGAAAAATCAGTACAGGTTCAGCTCGACGCCTAACGAGTTGCGCAGAACCACGCCAACGTGGGGGTCGTAATAGAGTCCCGATCCGCACAGAACACCTATGAGGTATGGCCGCACCCACGGAGCCGGGAATCCGATAAGTTCGTGTCGAAATAAAGTTCAAATTCGGATGAAAATACTGGGTTCAGCGAATTAGGAATACGGTACCACCTAGCTTTGGGAGACCATCAGCCCTCACTGATGATAGGATATGATAAGCATGTAAGAGAGTCCCCGCCGTCAGTAAGAGGGGGAAGTCGGAGATTGCGGGCCCCTTGTAGTATCGGATTACTAGCCATGAATTGCCCGCAAGCCGAATGAGATGCTCTGTAACCCCCACCCGCCGCGACCCAACTCGCCGCGGCCGACTCGCCGCGACCCAACTCGCCGCAGGGTCCAACTCCCCGCCGGAGGCGACCACTTCAGAGCGACTCGTCCTTGGCTCATTCGCCTCAAGTACCTAATGGTTGTACGAGCATAGAAATTCTCGGCATCCGGAAAAGAAATTTCCGAATTAGTCGGCACAGAGGGGAGAAGCTTTCGGGATAGTGATCTAACGAAAGTTGGTGGCCCTGACAAGGGCCGTTTTTTTGCTCCCAAACACGAGAGACTTGAGCCTCATCGATCTTCTTTCTTCAGCAGGATCACAGCCATGACGATCTATTTCCTACGGATGGCCAAGCGAAGATGACAGGACATGATTCTAGACTTGTCGGTGTCGTATTCGTTCGGCATCCTGTGATATACAGTATGGTCATTTAATTTTAAATCAACCGAATCTTCTTACTTGGAATATATATTGGAATAAAAGGATGAGCACGATGATGAACGTCAATCGTCATAAGTGTCTGCCGCTGCGTTTGCCGTGGGAGAGCCGGACGTCGCTTCCATCCTGAAGTTGTTGGCGATTCCTTGCAGATAGTCGATCGTCGTCCTCGAGTGCAACTGCCGGACTATTGAGAGGATGCGATTGTCAACGGCTACGTACTTGCAGCGCTTTGGATCCGGGGCATAGCCTCCTACAAATCGTCCATAAGCAGCGTCTCGTCCGTGCTGAACCTTTCGTGAGCCGTCGATGAATTTCCAAAGATCCAGGTGGTTAACCCCGAATTCTTAATTCCCCGTTTACCACCTTGCAAATGACGATGCGCAGCCTCGGCAAAGTTGTTGCTTCGATCGTCCCCCTCCAGCGTACGTTGGTAGACCGTCCACATAGCTACAGGGAAACGTGGCGATTGCGAGCGACCTCGCCGCCTGGTGACAACCGTAACCGACCGATGTAGTTGTCCTCGAAGGAGTTCATCACTGGCATCAGCTCTGCAGGCAGCTCGGGTGCTAATTCGCTCATGGCGGTATCGAGATGCTCCGGCGGCACAAATGCGAGCGCGGGTATCGTACGCGCCCATAGAGCGAAGTCGTCGTCACGATTGTAACGTTTCATGAGTCCGAGATCCGCCAAGTTCAACTTCATTTTCTTGACCAGATGGAAAAGACAACCATCCATCTGGGCATTCGGAAATGAGTTTTTGAAGGCATCTATCAATCCGAGCTCAGAGTCAAGAGATACCTGCGTTGGATTGAACTGTGGCCATGCCGTACGAAGCAGCTCAATCATTCGCGAGCAGGTAGCTTGATTCTTGTTGGGCAAGAGAGCATAGCAGATCGGGAAAACGAACCCAGAACGTTTCGCGAGAACGACGAAAACCTGCTGGAAGAGTTTCGGTGCCAGGCTGAACGTACCGTCGACGTAGATTCTATCTACGAAACCAATCCAGTCGGCCACAGATTCACGGCCGAAGATGAGGATTCTGTCTTCGTCGCCGAAGCCAGAATCTCCGATGAGGAAGTTCTCCGAGCGTCCCGGTTCTGCTTGGTATACCGAATGATCGGGAGGAATCATTATCGAACTACGATCAGCAGGAAGGATGGGGGCACTAGCGCACGCCTTCCGCACTCGGTTCAGACTCTTCGCCAAGACTCGGTTTATCGGAAACTGCATCGCCA